GGCCCCCTCCCCCGGCGCCGGCCAAGTGAGGCGGTGATGCGGGCGCTGGCGGCCTGGGCTGAGCCGAGAGCGGAGACACAGGCTCAAGATGGCAGATTCCCACTGAGGCTGAGGGGGCCGAGCTCGCGCGCCGCGTTCCCTTCTCCGTTGCCATGAACCGCGGACACCCCGGCTCCGATGGCCCCCGTGTACGAAGGTAAGGGGCGCCCGGCCCGCGATCCCCTGCTCGCTCGGCCGGCCGCGGCCCCCGCAGCTTTGTTCTGCCCGCGGCCCCTCGCCCGGCAGCCCCCGGCCGCAGCCCTGGGCCCTGGCCGCGGGGGGCTCGTGACCCTCCCCGATGCCCCCCATCCCGGGCCCAGACGGGACCGGAGCCGGCCTGGAGCAGGATCTTATTTCCAGGGCAGAGAAGGCGGCTTGGGGGGTGTGTGCCGGGTGGGCTGCTGCCCAAAGAAAAGAGATGGGGGCGGCGTGTGGGAAAGACGGATCCGTGACTGCTTTCTGTTTATTTGTGATCAATGAAGGTGATGCGATCCTCCCCCATTACCTTTGAAGGATCTCCTTTCTACTTGTCCGTCCTCTCGGCTCCCTTTTCCAAACATCTCCACTCCCACCCCACACTCCTTTATTCTTTCCGAGCCTCCGATTTTTTTGGGGGGTGGTGGTGGTGGTGGTGGTAGTGGTGGTGGCTGTGGAATCCGATTGTAAGGGGCCCAGCGGTGAGAGAGGGTAGAGATGAAAAGTCCATTTCAGACCCAGGCAGAACAATGAAATGGGCTCAAAATCTCCCCGCAATTAGCGTGTGGAAGGGAGAAGGTAGTTTGGCCGGGGTGGGGTGGGGGCGCGAAAGGAGCTTTTCTGGCTCGGCCTGGGTAGATCTGTGCTGTGCACCTTCACCTGGCGTTGGCGGATTTTTCCCATTCGACTGTCTTCATAAGAAAGAAAAGGTAAGGCCATACAGCTGCCTCGCACACTCTTTTCGGTTCTCTTCAGTCAGTTCCGTCAGCTTGCAGCGAAAAAAATCAAACCCGAATCAACTAAGTTTTTACACTTTTATGTGTTTTTGTGTACTTGTAGTACGGGGGCTTTTTCAACCCAAGGGTGCCCGATTTTTCAGTTATTTCGTCGGGAGAATGTTTCTCTCGTGAAATCATTGAAATAGCAGCCTTTTACATACTTTTAGCGTGGGTCCATCTGGCTTTCTTTCGGTTTTGTTCAGATATTCTGTGGATGAAATCGCAAATGAGAGGGAACCGGGTTTGCCAGGAACCAAGAGGAGGGGCGAGGGGAGATTGTAATCCTATAAACCCGGGGAACTGTGGGGCCCAGTGAAACAGGGATCTCATTAACAGTTTTATCTCTGTTAGGAGAGGCTGATTTAAAAAAAAAAAAAAAAACTTATCTGAAAAGAAAATCTGTTATTAGTTCCAGGGCTCCAAATGAATTAGGTTTCTGCACGGAATAAAGTTACCAGTCCGGCTCTGAATAATGAGGCTGTAAATAACCTATGGACTGTAAATATTTTTTTCCAGAGTCTCTTAGAAACAAAGGGGCTGTTTAGAAAGCAACAGAGAAATGTTATTCCAGGGGCTTTCCTCTTTGATTCTGAAGAACACAAGGTCCATTTAACCGTTCCACAAAACAAAACAAAATTTCTGATCACTCCACCCCAGAGAACAGAAACATGCCAGTGGGTATGTGAACACGTAGGAGAGCCCTGTCCGGCATTCATTGTTCATCTGTTCTAGGGGAGGGGGCTGCAGTCAAAGCTCCCACTGTCTAGAGAGTTAAAATGAAACAGTTTTCTCTTTATTAAGTACCTCCTTGAGACTCCCTCTGCTGGACACTCGGGGTGAGCGGTTTAGAAGGAACTTGGCATTGAAATCACAACTGTAATAGAGGGCTGCTTTTCCTCTTCCAGGGGCCTGAGTAGGTGGGTTGGGGTGTATTTTATCAACTTTGTACAAAGCCACCTTGGGGACTGCATTTATCATGCTGGTTTCATTTGGAACCCATGGGAAATGTAGGCTACCCTCCCTGGGGCTAAGTAAGGCCTAGCATGGTTGGTCCTATGACTTTGTTCTTTTAGTGATTATGTCAGGTAAAGAATGACAGGTGTGTAAGGTGTTACAGTGTAGGACTGTGGATCTCAGGGGTCTCAGCTCACAGTTTTATTTTTTAACCCTCCTCTATCCCAGGCAACCTAATTTGTCACCCTTTCAACCCTGGTTTTCTTGAATCTTGTCTGTGGGTTCTCTTAACTGTTCTTTTGTTTGTAGCCTTTTCTTCTATGGGAGCATCTCTGTACATCTTCATAATTATTTTCCTAGTCTTGCTCAGCACTGCTTATCTATCAGCCTAGAATCACCTAGCTCAGGCCTGGTCTTTTTGAGAGAGACTGTTAGGCATGCTGTGAGACAGATCAATGACCTCCATAGTCAAGGACTACGCTTTGAGGACCTACAGTCACTCACAGTGTGTGTGTGTCCAAGACTACAGTGACCTCTCCCTTGACCTGCAGTGACAATCTGTGGATTCAGTGAACCTGATTTTTATCATATCTCAACCAGAACCCAGGGACTGTGTGTGTGTGTGTGTGTGTGTGTGTGTGTGTGTGTGTGTGTGTGTGTGTTGTGTCTTAAATGAGCAGGGCTTTTCCTGCAGACTTCTCCAAGAAGAGGGATTTCGCCTCCTAATAGTTCCACATGATTCTTCTCAGAGGTCTAATGATACATGAGACTTTCTAGCTGGAATTTCTCAAATGGAGTGTGACTGGAATACTGAGTGAAGGCTGGAATGTAGAAATTTAGATAGGCATGCTGCTTTTGAAACAAAGCATATTTGATAATATAAATTAATAAGTGGCAAAGTATAATCAGTCTTCTAAGGCTTTCTTAAGGAATATATTTATAAATAGCACATTAGTGTTCAGTGACTTGATAGTGATCAAGTTAAACTTCTTGTAAAAAAGGGGGGGTATTTTCTTTAGAAGGTTAAACATTTGCCTTGTGATTATATTTCTCCATCAACTTGCTTACCAAGGCCTTTTCATTATGCAGTGCAAAGGTCAACCACAGGGGTCCATAACTATGGGTTCCCAATTAGAGGAACCTGAATTCCAAGTTAACTATGTCTCACTTGCCTGAGTTGTCTTGTGGAGGAAGCCAAGGAACCTTTCACAGTCAGGCTTGTACACCCTGGCATGCTGAAATCCCTCATCACATGGACCCGAAGACACTGGTCACCAAGCTGAATCATCTTCCCTCAAAAGAATTTTATGATGTATCGTCTATAATATCCTTGCCTGTGTTTATATTTTATATTTTTTAAAGTTAGTAAGGATAGCTATTGTTTTCCTTGTTGTTACATTTGAATAGTGAAGCAAAACTCATTGGTTTTATTCTTGACACTGGACAGGAGGGCAGGACACTCACATCAGAGACACCAGAGTTTGGATCTAGCTTATGACCTTGGTATCAGGACTTTCAGCCTGTGTTGGATTGTGTGAGGAGGCCATTAGAACCTGGTGTTCAGTAGAGTCCTGCATTTTCTCAGTAAGTGCTAAATCCCTGTCTTCTGAGTTGCTTATAGGCATGACAACCCCAGGGAAAGTGTAACCTACAAATAGTTGAGAACACCAGTAATAGCAACATTTCAGTTTCAATTATTAATCTCCTGCTATTCCTTTTCTAGTTTGGGAACCAGCCACAATAAACCCCCCATAGCCATGGAAGAAAGAACCTTTTTTTTTTTAAAAAAAAAAAAAAAAAACTCCTCTGTGACCTTTCCAGTCTCTATTCCCATCAAGCTTCTGATGGTTTCAGGTAGAGAATGGCTCTTCCGTAGCAGCACTTTGGTGCTACGTTAAAAATGTGCAAACAAATACTAAGACGACTTTAAGGGGCTGCAGCTGTGTTCCTGGGAAGGCAGCCCTAAGAATGAAAGACAACCTTTGCCCTTAGCAAAGACCCACTCACTCCTATATAAGGCGGCAGGCTGGGTAAGGAATTCCCTATGGTTGCTTACTGGTTCTTAGAGGAAAGGCTCTTACCCAGCCACATGCCAGGGTTTGCCTCACTAGGCATTAAACGTGAATTTTCTTACCAAAGAAAATTGGGGCTTTATGCAAATTATAGCTGCTTACATTCTTCATATTTTATGTTTCATGCTCCTTTCTTTCTTCCTTCCTTTCTCCCATAGAGATCAGTGTTAAGGATCTACCTTTGAGGTTTGTATGGAACAAAGTAGTGATGATCAGAGGGTAGGACATTTGTGCATTTTTTATTGTTCTCTGAATGCATGCTTTGCCAGTGCTCTCTGGTAGCCTTAGCATGACGATTCAACCGCTCGGGGTTGCAGTCAAAGGCTGGATTCAGAATAATACTAGCAGACTTTGTGTAACCACTAATAGAGTGTGAACTTGAAAGCCCCAAGCTCATAATAGCTCCATTTCATGTGACAATACCTTGTTGAAGGAGGGGGGAAAAAACCCAGAAAATTGAAAACCCAGAGTACAGGAAGATCGTTATTTTTTCTTTAAAAGAAACTGAGAATCTTGGGGGTTGGTGATGGTGATTATGACTTAGACTGTGATTTGGCTCATGTACGTTCTGCACTCTCTACGTGCTGAACTCCCTGTTTGTTCCCTCATTCTGCAGACCAGGGTGCATCTTTCATGCATTCATTGAGCAAACATTTACAAAGGCTCGGCTGTGTCCTGGGCCCTCGTGGCAGGTTCAGTGTTTGGAGAAATGACAAAGACTTGGCCTCTGACCTCTGGGAGTTCAGGAATAGAGGAAGTGAAAGTCAAAATATTTAAATGTGTACAAACTCGCTGGGGAGTGTGTCTGACCCAGATGCAATGGTTGTTTGTTTGTTTGTTTGTTTTATTTTTATGTGTGACAGTTCTTACATACTTATGGTATAAAGGGAAGACCTCCAACTTCCCTTTTATGTTGAAATGTTTTCTTTATTTGAACTAAAAGAATTATGTATGAATTTCAAAGCTTCTCATTAGATTTCCTTAGAAATTTCTTGAATATTAGCATCTCTCTTGCATAGGATGCTATTTAACTTTTATCGTGTCTCCTCCTCCATGCAGATACAGTTCTCACGTGCACCCACTCCTGGGATGCTTTTTGTTTTCTACATTTAGAGTTGAAGGCTGTGTTGTGCCCCATCCATGTGCGCCTGTTGGAG